TCATCAGCAAGACAACTACTGCCTTACACACAGCAGTCAGGCGGCGGTTCCCTCCCGATTGCTTTTGTCTGAGATCAGGTTTTACAAATTAAACAAGTCAGACTGCAAAGTTACTGAGAAAAATTGATTTTGGAGGTCGTGTTACAGAAGCATCCTAGAATCTACCTATACACGGTCTATTTAAAGAGATTTTTTCATATCGTTCCAAACCATGTATGTATTTCTTCTATTTAAACGCAATAAACAGATTTTCTTTTGTCCATTCAATAAAAGTCAGTACGGTCCAATGCTGTTCATATTTTGGACCCCATTGGCGAAATTATAAACAATTGCAATTGAAATGTTCTAAATGTATTCCAAATAATAAGAAAAAAATCTTCTTTGGGTTTTGGATATTATCGTTAACTGAAATTAAAACCATAAAAAACATTTTCATTTCTTGACTAAAAAAATACCAAAATACAAAAAAACTTAAGCTTATTTTATTTCAGCTAATTGCAAAAGAAACATTTATCATTTTCATTTAGTTGAAGTTGAAGTACCAGAATAATTAAAACTAAATAAACTAAAAACTAAATAAATTATAAACTAAAATTTAAAGGGTTAGTTCACCCAAAAATGAAAATTCTGTCAGTAATTACTCACCCTCATGTTGTTCCAACCCTGTAAGACTTTCTTTCATCTTCGGAACAGAAATTAAGATAATTTTGATTAAATCTGAGAGCTGGATCACTCCTCCATAGGCTTTTTAAGACTTTTCTGGCCCAAAAAGTTATGAAAGACATCGTATAAATAGTCCGAGTGACTACAGTGGCTCAATCATAAGTTTATCAAGCGACGAGAATATTTTTTGTGCGCAAAAATAAACAAACAAAAATAACGACTTTATTCAAATATTCATTTCCTTCCCTGTGGGCCTCGAGATTTCACGTAGTGATATTGCGCAAAGCTTCTGTGTTGCACCGTCGTTACACATAGGCTCGCTATTGGCCGACGCTGGTCATGTGTGTGATGCGTGTGACGTACAACCTAGAAGCTTTGCGTAGTTTCACTACGTGAATTGTCGAGGCCCACAGGGAAGGAAATGAATAGTTGAATAAAGTCGTTATTTTTGTTTGTTTCTTTTTGTGCACAAAAAGTATTCTCACCGCTTGATAAACTTAAGATTGAGTCACTATAATCGCTCGGACTCTTTTAACGATGTCCAGTAACTACTGACAGAATTTTCCTTTTTGGGTGAACTAATCCTTTAATAGCATCCATATAGACATACTTAAAAAAAACATTCCCCATTTATATTAGGTGTCTTTAACCACTATGTACTAACATTTAAATGAATAATTTGATACAATGCATTTGTTATGTACATAAATGTTTTACATAGTACTTATATTAATTACCTGAATGTAATTATATCTGTAATTGATTTCTGTAATTACATCTAATTGCACTGAGATAAGAACACAATGTAAAGAGTGACAAAAAAAAAAACAAATAATAAAAATGACCAAAACACAACAAAATGACAAACTAAAATTAAAATAAAACACAGAAAACATAGAAATCAAATCAATTACACTAAAATAACACTGTAGGGTGAGTAAATGATAACATAAATTTGGGTAAACTATCTCTTCAACTTGTTAGATGTTAACTTAAAGCTGCTTATTTTCATTTCTGCTGTAGGTGGAGGGACTATCTCTCAGTGGCATATGATCTTATGTCTGTGGAGCTGTAAACACAACCACATGCCCAGTGAAATGAATACCTTGTGCTCAAAATCAATGATTAATAAGGCTGCGGACTGTTAGGACAGCACAGTAACACTATATTTTCACCACAGTGGCTCGGATCTTCATCTTTGGTTAAGGTTTTTTTTTTTTTTTTTCTTCGGTTTGATTTGGTTTAGGTTGCTCACTCAAAATACCACAAATGCCTAGATACTTTTAAAGGTAAAATAAAAAGTGGAAAAGTGCTTAATGGCATTACCATGAACCTATAGCAGCAAATAACTCGGCTCCATATTGATGCTGGATAAATTATGATTGTGTTTGTTTCTTTAATCCACTGCAGTCAACACACCTGATCACACACACGATTTTTTCTATGTCATTGTTGTACGTGTTCACAATGGGAAAAGTCCTCCTCGATTTCCTTTCATTCGGCATGCATTGCAATTGCACTAGTTGTTTTATCAGTGCGACGTGTGTGTGTTTGTGTGTGTGTGTGTGTGTGTGTGGAATAATGTCTGCCACCTCTGCAGAGGCAGCAGAATATATTATTTGTCATGTCAAAACAGCTTTCTCCCTCGTTTATTTACCAAAGGTCAATGGTGTGACAATATCCGATATTTATTTCACACTGAATATGAAATATGTATTTTTGATCATTTTTTATTGACAACTTTCTTTGCTCAATTGTTACACTATACTAAAGGTCATTGTGAGAAAATAAATGGATTTTTGTTTTGGCTAGCATTTTTGTGATTACTTTCTGTGCTGTGTGGAAAGGCACATTTTTTTGTTTATTCACTGATGGATATTACAGCTATTTGAAATAAATTGCTGTTTTATGCAGTGGTATGGGTGTTGTATGCATTGCTTTTTTTGCACGCCTTATTTCTTATCAGTCTCAACACATTACAAGCTGATAGATGGGTGACAATGGGTCACAAAGTCAGCTATTGTTTACATGGTGACTGAGCAGCTGTTGCACAATAGTCAGCTTGTTGTGGATAAGAACAGGCATTGCCCAACACGACCCAGCCACCCATGATTACGGTCCCCCTCAGCCCATTACTGGCCCTTTCAGAATTTACTTCTGTCTTCACAGGACAGGGTATGGATGATTGACTCAGCTGCATGGTTTCTCAAACACAATACCTCAAACAAAAGGGACCAAACTAAAAATATTTAAACCAGCCAGTTAGCTTCCTGTTATTTTAAATATATTTTACAAATACACAGTAGTGATTTGTAAAATAAAGGATTGGTTTGCGAAGAGAACCGTTTGTGATGAAAAAAAAAATTGTTCATCACATCACCCGAATGAAACAACCACAAAGTCGATCATCAACCTCTGGTCTAGGGTGTCCTAGTGCCATGTGCACTGATGGACACCCTAAGGCTTATGCTTGAACATGGTGTTCTTTATGGACAAACTGTGACTAGCACAGAAGTCTAATAACAGAACTCCACTCGGGTTCAGATCAAGGGGGCCATTCCTCCCAATAACGTCACTCCAGGTTTTCCTGTTGTTGTCCACGTGGGCGTTGAAGTCCCCCAGTAGGAACACTTTCCAGCACCCCTCCCAGGGACCCCAAGATGACCGGGTACTCTGCACCGCCGTCCAGCCCATAGGCACTCACGTCAGTGAGAGGCCTGTCCCCGTCCCGAAGGCGCAGGGATGCGACCCTCTCGTTCACCGGGGTGAACTCCAACACATGGCGGCTGACCTGGGGGCCTATAAGCAAACCCACACCAGCCTGTCACCTCTCACCATGGGCAACTCCAGAGTGGTAGAAAGTCCAGCCTCTCTCAAGCATTGTGGTTCCAGAGCCTAAGCTGCGCGTGGAGTTGATCCCGACTATCTCTAGTCGATATCTCTCAACCTCCCGGACAAGCTCAGGCTCCTTCCCCACCAGTAAGGTGATGTTCCATGTCCCTAAAGCCAGTTTCCGTGTTCAGAGATCGGGTCATCGGGGCCCCGCGTCACTCATTCGGGCTGAGTCTGGCCGGATCCCATGGGGGGAGGCCCAGCCACCAGGCGCTGGCCTGGCTCCAGGGTAAGGCCCCGGCTACGCCATGCAAGGCGACGTTTCGGTCCTCGATTTTTCTTGCATTATATTGGGCTTCTGAACCGCTCTTAGTCTGACCCGTCACCTAGGACCTGTTTGCCTTGGGAGACCCTACCATGGGCAAATAGCCCCGGACAACATAACTCCTAGGATCATTCGGGTACTCAAACCCTTCCACCACCAATTTCAGAATAGGAAACTTGTATTTATGATAATTCCGATTCTGTGAGCCAGCAGGTGTCCTACACTCTAAAAAATGCTGGGTTGTTTTAACCCAATTTTGGGTAAAATATGGACAAACCCAGCCATTGGGTTACATTTTTAAATTATATTTTTAACCCAATTGGCTGGGTTTGTCCATATTTTACCCAAAATTGGGTTAAAACTTCCCAGCATTTTTTAGAGTGTAGCAGAACAACCACCAGTATAGCTCATAACATTTAGTACACTGACATAATACTAACTTTTTCAAAATACTTTTTTAAAGCAATCTTTGAAAACCATTTTTCTAATTGCTTTGTTTGAAATAACATTTGGTTTGATATTTTGGTTATACTGTAAATATACTGACATTTTTGTATAGACTTTATGCACCAGAGAAACGTGGGCGCTGACATTTTTAGAATATTGTCTTTGAACTTCCGTTTTTGCGGTGGCTCTGTATATTTCTATGGCATCGCTGTCGAGGAGTAATTAGCTGGTGGATTTACTTATTGTAGAGTTAACAAAAGTTATCATGAGCATTGTAATGTTTATCATAGGCACTGTAAAGCAGATGTCTTAACAAATGTCGACCGGGATTTTTTTTTTACATACCTATGCAAGATCGCTGTGAAAATACAGACCGGAAGTCAAAAGACAACGAGCGCAACGCTGAAAAGGGACGGGGCTACATAAGGTCTATAAATGTAGCTTAGATGTGTCTGAAGTTTAATGAAGTATTTCTCCAAAGTTGTCAAGACAGAAGAGCCTGAATGTTTGTTTATTATGCATACAAATTGAAATAGATTTCCACTAAATAGCTACAACCTACCATCTGTTTATCTCCATCTGCATGTGAATGTTTTTCATAAGCCCTTCAGAACAAAATACCAATAATTTGCATCAAAGTGTAAATCAACTTCTGTGTATTTTTACAATAAAAATAGCCCTCTTTATTTGATGTAAACATTTTAAAAAAGATAAGAAAACTGTGCTCACATCCTCCAGATTGACATTCTGATATTTTATTTGATCCATAGTTTCGCCTGCACAAGTTGTAGTTGTAGTGTAAAATCACAGGCATGCAAAATGACAGGCGGTCGATTCACGCACGCGCACACACACTCACACACGCATACATATCAGAGGCGCTGAAAAGCTGAAGACATCTCCAGATGGACAATCACTCGGTATGCTCACCTTTACTCGCATAATTTAAGCCATGACACATACAGTACACACACACAGTAATGTTGTTGTCCAATAGCATTAAAAAGAAAGCAGCATGTTTTACCTAAAATCATTTCATTAAAGATCAAACTTTAGATTGTTTTTGTGCTTTTGAAGTACTTTTTACTGTACTTTATTGGAGTGAGGCATAAAAGTTTGTGCCTAAACCCTCAATGGTTTAATGTCTGAAACCTTGAGCCTTGAACTGTAAATCAATTTGTTTGTGAAATGCAATTGTAAATGTCACAGGTGATTAGTTTAATAAGTGCAAAGTTTCTTTGAGAGCATTTTAGTTCCTCTTCAGTAAAAGAATGGCGTATTTATTTTGTAGCCACGTTTAAATCAGATGAGCCAGACTCGAAGCAGTCTCTCTTCTCCTTGCCTGCATCTGGCCTGAAATGCTGAAGATCCCCACTGTCCTCTCCCACCGTCTTTGTCCCTGCCCTGTCCTCTCTAAGAGAAAAACAACTGCGGCATAAACGCTGACCACTAACACTGTGAAACTCCCACCCACCAGCATCACCACCCCAGATATGTACATGTCATTCAGCGCCTTGCCGGGTTTGGGCATGTGATAGGCCAAGGCCACGTCTAGGAGCACAGCTCCACAGATGAGTAGAGAGATTCCTGTGATAAACATGATGATGACATCAGATAAACCGCCGCTTTTTAGCATGTTGATCCGGCGCCTGCTGCGCACGCAGTTCATGTCCTGGACAGCAGAGCTCAGCAACTGCTTGAGGAGGACGGCCAGAGCGAGAAGGCATAGAGTGGTTCCGGCGCCCAGCCGCCACTCGCTGGAAAGGCTGGTGGTGGTGGAAAGAAGGCCTACGCCACCCAGTCCGCAACCTAAGATCAAGGCCACTGAGGCGCAGTAGCATAATAAGGATTTGCGTGGCTCATTAAACCACCAGAGCTCCACCTGCTCCTCCAGGAGGTTCTGCTGGATGCGAGCCGGGTCAGGATGGGGGTGGCCCCTCGGAGGGGAATAGTCCTCCAGCTCTGACATGATGTTTGCTGCTAATGGTGGTCAGGACAGGTCCCAACTGTGAAAGGACACCTGGCTAGAGTACCTGGAAAAAAAAAACAAGTTGGGAATTAGTTAAGAAGATGCCACGTATACAGTTGACAAAAATAAAAAAAAAATCCTGTTCAATTCACAATAAAAAATTCACAGTGACAATGTTTCAGGCATTATGTAAATACATTTTGGCCTGCATATTTCACAGTTCTTAATTGGCTAATTAATTATCATTGTTATGCTGTAATAAACCAACCTACTTGAATATAAAATTGGAATTTTTACCTTCAAAGTAAAAATAGGATCTACCTTCAAGTAGTAAAATATAACAACGTCAAAATGCCACGCCAAATTGTCAAAATGCCATCAGTGATATATAAAATAATAATAATAATATAAGCAATAAGGTACGAAAGGCTGTGCTGTATTGTGAATAAGTCACGGCATTGGCAATACATTGGTAATACATATATATATATATATATATATATATATATATATATATACACACACGTATAGATATATTTTAACACAAATATTAAAGCCAAAAAAAAAATGTATCAAAGTAACTTTTATGAAGTAAAATCATTAAAAGCAAAATAGTCATTAAAAAAAAAAAATAGTCCCTGACCAAATGAATAAATAAATCATTTTTACTGCATTAAATTATATTTAACCAATTAACAGGTTTTACTTTAGCATCATTACATTCTTTTCCCATTCAAAATTATAAATATAAAAAATTTGTACAGATTTTTCAGTTCGAAACGGAATTCTGAGCGGTCCCATGCAATCAAAAGCACCACAATAAGGGCATAAAAGGCATAAAGACACTCCCCAAAATGCAAACTTTTACTGAACTTTGCAAATATTATGTTAATTATTCAGAGTGGGGGTTTCAAAACACCATTCAGGAGTGGGACCAAGCTGCTTAATGATTAAAACGCAGCTTTATTTATAAAGATTCTTCTTAAAATCAATTTATGATGTAGTCAAACAATGAAAACCAGGTTTAATTTAAACACTTGTGTTAAAGCCTGTTGATGACCACGGGGAGATGTGTAGAGATAATAAAGATTTAAAGTAGTTAGAGAAGACAATTTCCCTTCTGCTCAGCGGCACAAGCCTTAATTCCGTTACAAATGGCCTGTCTCTGTGGTCCCAGTGACCCTCAAGGTTGCAGGACAGACAGCTTGTCTTTACAATCCCGTAAGTGGCTTTGCCTTCACAGTCCGCACTGCTGCACCAGGAAACTACATTGTATACATTATAATCACAGACCAAGACAAACTCTATTTATCTTTATCCAGGACCAGTGTCATTATTCTTTAATGTTTGTTCAAAATCAGTCTCCTCCCACATGTGAAGCCAAAGGGGTTGTGTACATGTACGTTTGTCAAGCTTTGCTAATTAAGTCCCCGTGGAGTTTCATATCACTGACATACTGCTTCCCTGTGACTGAGGTGAGGCATGAAGAGGAAAATGTAAAACAAGAAAGCCCATGAAAACAAAAACAACAAAGTCCATTCTAAGATTACAATGATTGTCAGAGATAAATCACCTAAAATGAAACTTCTGTCATTATATACTCTCAGGTCATTTCAAATCCATATGGATCCTTGCTTGGAATTAAAAAAATGATTTTAAAAGGTGCATTGTGCAAGTTTCTGCAAGTTTTGCAGAGCTATGCCCCCTAGCAACAAGCAAAACTGCAACCAGAGGTGTGCACGGCACGCTCATTGACCACATACGCACGCTTGCATGAGCTGTTCATAACCAAAGGAGCATCAGCCGCACAAATCTTTTGTTACAGTCATAACGCCTTAAGAAATAATAAACTTAAAAATCTGCAAGTCATTTTAAATATATGAAAGGAAAGGCGTTTGAGTAAATTACACACTTATGTGTAAATGGAAAACGGGGGTAGTAGAAAATTTAGTTTTTTGTTTCCATCTATCTCCATGTTGAACTGTTTTATGCGCTTACTGTATCCACTTATGATTGTATTGTTATGAAAACACTTTCACAAACAATTTAAGTTATTACTTAAAGTGTAGCATCCCGTTTGAGCCCTAGAGCAGACCGGAGATCTCTCCATTTGTTTAAAGTCTTCCTGATGTTGACTCTCGTCTTATTCCGACTCCTGGCACTAGACAAAAGTTTTCTTGTCTTTGTCTTAAGTGGAGTTTGTGTTGGGGTTTTGAATGAACTACAAGTCGGTCTCTTTGAATCCATCTTCAACTTTTGTCGAAAGTTGACTAAAGTTGTGTCGCTCGAGTTGTCTTCGCTGAAACGGAGAATGGCGGCGAATACACAAACCTGCCAGACATAGCCAGGTGAGCGTGAACGCGCATGACGTCACACCCAGTCTCAAATTCCGTGCTGAATCCCTCTTAATTATTTTACTGTACAGGATTATAGAGATTATTATTTTACACACAAAGTTACAGTCATTGGAAGTCAACTTTGAATATAGTCAAATGGACCACTTTATCATGCTTTTATGTTTCTGAAAGTCACAATTTGGGTGCTATTCCTAAAATAATTAATAATATTTGTTAATGTTTCTTTTACTGCTGCCCAGAAAGCAAAAATGACATCAAACACAGCACTGTATTATGTCTGCATTCCCAGTTGTTATAGACATATGGCAGTTTAACCTGCATACCTGGTTTACGAAAGCTCTTCAAGCCTAAGTAGACACAGTCTTTTGAATCTTTCATCAAAATATGAAGGTCATCTTGGATGAGTGCCTTATGTTCAAGTAGAAGTGTACTCATCCTAAAGAATTATAAAGTATATGCGATAAGAATGTGGCGGTTTATCATTCACTGGTGCATTCACTTTCAGTCATTTCATACACTTCAACAGAGTGTGGGGAGAGAAAGGACAGCAAGGAAATTTTCCTCACCTCAAATCACCTCAGGGTTAGGACTTGCTTATTATTTGTGTCCTTCACCTTAGCTTATACTTAAAAAAAAATCATTTCTAATAATATACTGACTTTCGATTTTGATATGCAGCGGCTCCTTGGAAAGTTTTCCTCTTTGGTTTTGTGATGTCGCTGACAGGTGCAGTCCAGACTCTAGAGTATATTTATAAGATAGGTTTTTATTATTACACAACCAGGCCAACCAGAAAACTGAAAGTGTGCAATTGTTAGTTGTAATTTGTAATTATTATTAATCTGATTCCTTTAGGCTGACATGGTGTCGATGGAAAAACCTTCTAAATTGCTGATCTATCAGTGTTGTGGCCTTGGGCCTGGACAGCCGTCCAACTTAGCCCCTGATTTAAAAAAAAAAAAAAGAAGTCTACTGCCAGTTTGCCTGCAAGGTCTCTCTGAGGTTATTTCATAGGCAAAATGTCTCTAGCTGTCAATGCATGAGTGATCCACCAGGACAGAGGTGTTCAGCTTTAGTAGCCTCCTGACAGTGTTCCTCCTCCTCTTTCTTGGCTTAAGTTGCTGTTGGCTATTGAAGTTTGGTGGTTTTCTTGAAGATTTAGAGCAAACTGCATCTTTCCCGACAGGTGTGAATGCTAAGCATTGTGGCAGGCCAAGCGTACTATTCATTCTCTAGTCAAGCGGTACACTGTTGTATCTCTGACTGCAAGTCTCTGATGTATCTGCTAAAGAAGCGTTCATAAAGCAGGCTCTTGTCTTGTCTCCGGTCACCATACAACAGCTGATGCCTTGTCTAGCATACTCTTCTCTGCCTGGTTGCTAGACAAAAACAATGGAGCAAGTCTCCGTGTCCTTCTCCAGGCCAGGAGGAAACAGGTCACTATCTGTGTGGAGACAAAAGAAGCAAAGAATGCCAGCTTGATAGGAAGGGGATGTGTAAAGGATATGCAGTATGTCTAATTCATCAAAAGCAAATTGCTTTTGATTGTTAAGGGAGTAAACGGCCATGAAGATCTGAGCAGGGGTGGATCTTGCCTTTTCCATATGGGGGTCTCTTTGCGGCAAGGTGGAACTAGATGGAAAATGTCCAAAAAAAAAAAAAAACGTTTCCGTAGTCATGTCTGTTAAATTTACCCATTGAAAGCTCACTATATATTTGCTCCAAAGCACCATTTTCAGGCCTCATACAGTAAGTGCACACTCGCCACGATGTTTGTTCCAAAAAGAAAGGAATTGAATTATGTTGACCAAAGAAACCACATTCCAAGTCAACACTGCCTTCACTGAGTTGTCAATCCCATAATACACTGCAACAAGTTCGGTGAAAAACTAAATCCAAGATGGTGGATGAAGAGAGAAATGAGAGAAATGTTAACTCCATCTGAATTAGCATACTTGCCTACCATATACCCAGCTAACAAAAATATGGTCAAAGTGCTTTTTGCTAACATTCCCATTAAGTTTTAAAAATTATACTTCTGAATGTTCTCAGAATGTTTAAATCGCAAAGTTTTAAATGTTAGCTGCCTGCATCTGAATATCCATAGTTCACTACTATATTCCTTGCTAACAAAAATATGGTCAAAGAACTCTAAAGCCGTGTGTCCACCAAAGCATTTTCCCACACGCGTGGCGTTTCAATTTGTTTTCAATGGGAGCTCTGCGTTTTTTAAACGCCATGAGCGTAACGAGGCGCTGAGCGTTGTTTTTTTTCGCGCTGAAGCGCCGACCGCCCAGCATTTTTTACTGGTCGCCGAGAGTTGAAAAATGTTCAACTTTGGATTAAACGCAGCGCTCATCACTGCCACTTTTTACCTAGCCGTCCAATCACAGTGGAGGAGGGGCGGGACTAAACCACGCTGACCAACTGTCACAACATTCTTTCTGTTCAACGACATCAACCAGCAGAGCTAACTAAACAAAATGGATGAAAAATATTTTTTTTAGTATGAAACAAATTATCTGCGAAATCAGTTACAAGTAAACTTCGCTGCAGATATTCTGTATCATAGCAACGAAACGTCTCATCGGAAAAAACGCTGCGCTGCCAAAACGCTCTCAAGCGCCCAAAGCACGGCATCTTCAGCAGAGCGTCTGGCGTTCTGCAAAACGGCAAAACACACCCACAAACAAGTTGGCAGTTGGATTTCAAATTTTATGAAGTAACTGTCACGTTCACACTGCCCCAACAGACACCAACAAACACTGATTGACCATGGTCAGTCATGTGAAAACAAACTATGTCTGACCGAAGCCAACAGACGCCGACAGGGGTACTGATCAGATAAAACCCAACAAGCCTGTTTTTTTTTTGTCTGTGTGGTGTGAATTGGCCTTTAATTCCACTCATTAGTATTAAATAAGTCTGAACAGGAGGGAATGAATCACACGATATTTGGTATAAGATTTGGGTTTTGGAGGGCCAAGAGTGTGTTGTTACTGTTATGCTTCTTGCAGCCCCTCTCTCCTTCTTGCTTAATTCACATTTTATCAGCCTGCACACATGGCTCAAGTTACTGTCAGGCATAACCTGAGGAACAAACCGCAAACAGCAGCTGGCCAAGACCCTGCCTTTAAAGCTGTATAAACCACCCTTGATTTTGCAGCCCTAATCTCTTATTTCAACTGAGAAATACTCACTTATCTGTTTCCGACTCTATTTCAGTATCTTGTCTGTCTCTTTTTTTTTTTTCATATGTTGCACTGTTGTTCTGGTGGCTGGGGAGGGATAGCCTTTTTGAAAAGCACAGCTCTGGCTCCCAGTGCTCTTTCTATTCATCATAAAAGTTAACATATGTCATGTACCTTATTCCATCATTTTACTTCAAGACTCAGTGGTGTCATTACATCCTCTTTTTCCATCAGTACACTTTCCCTAAAGAACACTCCTTCATTCCAACCCTTCACTGCAGCTTACCGCCACGTTCGAAGAGGCAAACTGAACACAAAATGACAAAGACAGATTACTCAATCTTACTCTGCACAAAATCTCAATGTTCTCTATGTATGATTAACTCAACAACAATAGACCTGGTATGGCTTTTATGGGTGTGTAATAGCATAGAAACAACATGAGTCACATTTCTCAATAAAGACTAGAATACAATACATGATTTTTGCCCCAATTTGCAGTTTGGACACATCAATGCTACTTGAAGTCAGAGCCAGTACGCAGATTTTGGGTAGTCTAAAGTCTTGAATACAATACACGACTTTTAAAATTGAAAAAGATTTTAAAACACTGGGCATCATAGTGACTTTGTAAAAGGTTTGTAAAAGGAAAAACTCTGCATCATAGACTAAACAACTGAGGATCACCCACTCAGATTATCGCACAGAAACATGCGCCTCGGCTCAACCCCCAAACCGGCTAAAAATATCAAACATGTTTGATATCCTCCAAGTGGATGGAAGCGAACAAATTGAAAACTAAAAAAAGTATATGCCCTATGTCTATGTAATCATTTACAAAGTCAGCAATTATAGCGTTTTCAAATCGGTTCAGATTTTAAAAGACATGACTTGTATTCCAGCCTTAAGCCGCCTTTTCACTGCACACGACATTCGCATACGATTGTCGCATTTCGCCCCCTAGTGTCAGTCGCACAGAACTTTGAAATTGGTCGTGAAGCAACCCTCGGAATTGGATATTCACAATGGTAAAATTAATGATTTTAATGAATGTAATGCATGCATGAATACATCTACACAAAACAAATGACCCTAAATACATCTCAAATAAAAACATAGTAGATTTTATAGAGCTAATCAATATAAATATTGATATAATTAGGCTATTATAAAATATTTGTTTCTGCTATAGTTAATTATAACCAACATTTTACAGAAAGAGCGTTTACAGAAAAACATTAAAGAGTTAAAATATTGGTAATTCTAGCCTCAAGCTCATAGTTTTTATTATAATACATCACTTCCGGTTGGCCGGTCGCATACGGTCTAGCCGCAGAAGTTATTTAAACGGATCCAAAACTCAAATCGGATCCGAATTTCCGCATACGCATATGATCGGAACTCCTCGCAGCTCCCGTACGACTCTCCATTAGAAATGAATGACTTCCAGTCCGACGGCGGTCATTTGTCGTGTGCAGTGGAAAGGCGGCTCCAAGGGTGCAATTTTGTCTGGTAAGGTTCTGCATTTACTGTTGGTGCTTGATTTTCCTGTTTTGGGCACAGCTGCAATATTAGAAGTCCGTAGCTTTTTTGGGGTTAAAATTATCCAAAATACATATTTGAGAAAATACATAACCAGCCAGTGTTCAAAACGGCTTGTCTTAGCTCGATTCAAAATGGTAAGCTTGTAATAACGTTTTTAATTAACAGTGGTACTGGTGGATTAAATTTATCAATTTGGTGGAAATTTGGCGGATTCAGAAAGGTTCAAACGACAATCACCAGTGACAACAGATTCTCCTTCTTCTGTAAAATGCAAAAGACTTTGTTCAGATTTCGAAGTGGCTATAGAAAAAAACAGACCGTAACCAGACCCATGCAAAAACAAGGATTCATATCGGAAGGACATTAATGCTGACTTAGTTAACATAAGAATTTGAGAACAAAATAGAATTTTTTAACAGTGTTGCCTGATTTTTAGATTTAATCAGCGAGATTTACTGCAATGTCAGAACCAGAACAAAAGTGGACATTACTTGTTCAGATGACATTTTCCGGTGAAAATTATTCATACTTCCAAAAAGAATAATCTGTGATTACAAATGACAATATCCACACCGGCACGGTGACTGACAGCCACGCACTCTCCCTCAAACATTGTGAAACATCATCACAACTCGTTTAGAGTTAATAATTCCGCTAATAACTGCAATTGAAGATTTTGAACAGAGAAGGTGATAAAGAGGAAAAACTGTGGACTGCAGCTTTAAGCACTAATTACATCACCAATTAACAGGCCCGTCCACCCAGCTCCACACTGCTGACAAAAGGAAAAACATTCACCTCTCTTCCCGCCTACCTCTGTATCTACAGCATCCAAAATGTTCAGTTCTGGCCTCTAGGACAGTAAAAATGTGAGCATAGTCCATAATGCAATAGAAAAAGGGCAACTATCCAACTTGGCTACTGAGCTCCACTCTGTGACCTGACCTCCATCTGTGACATAGACACCAGCCCGGTTAAGACCTGGACCTACTCTTTCACTCTTTAGGGGCATGGTTTCATTCTCACTGGCTGTCTCTTGTGTGTCAGAGAATATTCTGGAATATACACTCTCGGGATGTTTGGATGTTGCTGAGTGCTGTCATGCACCTGTCGTTTTTATGATCTCTGTGGAAAGGATGATGAGGAAGGAACCTAGAGTGTGTTGGTTTGCTTGGCATCTGGAAGCATAACTTTGAGATTCCTTACTTTCTCTGCAGATGCATGTCAAAAAATCTCTATTTTAAATCCAAATATAGATGTTCATCCTTTATTTAAAAACAAAAAAGGACTGGTAACTATGATATCAGATGTGTTATCATGATGGAACTGAAAGAACATAGATCTACAGTATTCATCTGACGTTATATTTACATTACATCGCTTGATACAAATGTACTTCAAAGAATGCCAAGGTAATACGATAGAACTTTGGTACTTTTCTAGAGTTATTTGAAATGTTTATTTGTACTTTCTTTGTCCTATTTTGTCATGTCTTTTACCGGACGACTATAATTATGTCATTGTGTGTGCATGCTCAACAATCAAGTCACAATAAAACAATAAAATGTCATAAATGTCATTTTATTTTCTATCCATGACATCACATTTTTTCAACACCTCCAGTGTAGCTGACATTAACAATGGTTAAATGGTAGAAAGAGCATGATTAATTACTATCTTTTTCTCCCTAAACTATTACCCTGTCACCGTAAAGCACTGTTCACACTCTGCATAGAAAGGGCACCTAGAGTATTAAAATAATTTGCTTCACTTTTATTTTATGATACAGAACAATTTTAACTATACAGATGGGAGACATTACCTTTCTCAACTGTTACAGTTCTGCAGCTCCTCTTTAGTATTTTGCTCTCACTTGACTCATTTTAGTTCCTCTTTAAAGCACAATATTCTTAAAATGGACACTATGTCTACAATAAACATTATCTGATCATTCTATTGCTTCCTCATTCCAAATGTCTAATACTGGACAAAATTGTTTTTGATTATATGTTGCCCGCCGGTTTCTGGTGTTCTTCAGAACAAATTGAGTGAAGATTTATTTTGGTCAGCTCAGAAATAAAATCAGAAATGGCAGCATGTGACAATGACACTCCACACTTCTGAAACTATACATAAGTTGTATGTAGTTTTCATATTTGTCTAAAATAATAAATAAATTAATTACTTTTATAAGATGTGAAGAAAAAAAGAAATGGCATGTATACTGGAAGTTTGGTTAACTGCAAAATGACTAGCCTAAAGTGCGTGACCTGCTCCAGGAAATAATTCTATGAATGTTATTCATTATTACTCAAAAATGTTCTCAAGTATAGGCTAATTAGATAATAATGCTAAAAATGTATTAAAATGCATTATTTATTAGCCTATAAGAGCTAAGTTTAATAATTATGAATATTGTATCTGATAAAGCTGATGCAGTATATACAGCACTTAAAAAAAATCATGTAACACTAAAAGCACCAGTGATTATTCATATATTTACATTTAATTTATCATGATAATACATTTTGTGTGTTTAATTCCATATATCCAGTAGGTTATATGGGTGAACAGTTAATTACAGTCCTAAAGTGATGTTTAGGACTGATTTTCTGTATCATAGCTCTGGGACGCTTTACTGTTTTTATCACTCAGTTTGACATAGGACCAGGAAAAAAAAAAATCATACAGGAATTCCGAAGTGGCCAAATGTTATAATCACTCCAATCTCAGTCCTACTGTAGTAATATCCGCACAACATGTCCATATTGAGTGCAGCACTCTTACTTGTGCGATATTAGTTCATTTGTAGGCAATATAATTCCCTGTCAATTTTTTAAAATATTATTATTATTTTATATGCAGCAATTAACAAATTTGAATAAATAGCCTACACATTGTATGTTTCTCAGTCTATAGCTAGATGCTATAAACAGATTTGAATATCAACCCTTCATGAATTGGTTTACAAAATGTCCTTTTGCACGTTGAGACGATTTTCAGAAGTTCAAGTCCTAAAACTCCAGAACAAAGTGTCCTGCGTTGCTCTATCAAGGTGTGGATCCTCTTATCTGTCATATGTAGGCTATAACAAATACATTTCTATTCAAACCAAAAAACAGTACGAGGGCGTACATCAAAACGCTTCCGTTCTTACCTGCGATGCGCACCATCCCGAACCACATCAGCCACAAACACAGCCAAAAATACACAGCCGGTCCTTCTGAGAGGGGAAACGCGCTCAGCGAGAAGAGACGTCAAGTTTAATGTAAGTCTCGCACAGTAATCCCGACCATATCAGGTTGTCATTGCGAATGGCGTTGCAGGTGCACTGCTCGTTCAGCCCGGACTTTTGCCCTCCGCTCGTAGGAGTGGTCTCTCCTCTCATTGCTACTCTGATCGCGGAGCTTGTAGTTCAGCTGGGGAGTGTGTGTGTGTGTGTGTGTGTGTGTGTGTGTGACCTCGGCTCGCCGCTCCCCTCCAGTGGGACACCTGCAACGATAAAGCGTCTAGTCCAAAGGTCTGACGTTAAATGACGCCAATTGGAAACACCAAACAATTTTCTGTATGTTTGTTAATGCTGCGTCGCGTTTCACTATCTGCGCGACGCGACAAAACGCGCTTACCTGGAAATCGTCGCGGAGTACCTGCTCTGTTTACCGGAAAATCTTGCATGACCAGTGCTTATGACTAGATCATTCAAGGTACTGATAGAATTTAGTTATTGAGATGGTAGTTTTTCAAGTAATGGTGATTGTTTTAAAGTCGTTTTATAAATCTTAATATTCAAAACTAAAGTTTATTTTTAATTTACTGATTACCTGCACAGTTTTTATCAGACAGACTACAGATATGTTTGCAATTTATTTATGTGATATACACATACACTTAAAGTAGTTATTAATGCGAAAACAGAGCCAGTAGCACCTCAATGCAGTATTCCCACAGGGAGGAGTCGGATCACGATCCAAGGGGTGGAGATGGGTAGGATTAGGGTTGGGTTTAGGGATTAGGGGGCGGAGTTGGGTAGGTTTAGGTGTAAGGTGCTTAATGGTGCTGCGAAAATGTAAAGTTGTTTAGATGCTGAGAAAGTCATTACGCCTACATTTTGATAGCAGTTTAAAAAATGTTCATGTGGAGCAGTTTATGTTGACTTTAAAGTATTGCCTTTTTATTTGCACTAACACAATTTTTTTATTTGCAATTAATCTGTTCTCATTAGCTACAGTAAATGATTTAAACCAACTGATCTTGGATTGAGCAGCAAATTATTTGATAGGCTATGCATAGGCCCATAGATTTTCAACTTTTTAATTGTTAATTTGTAAATGATAAACATCTAAATTATATGCCATTTCTTTTGAAATTTTATTTGATATAATTGCAATCATTTCCTATGTGTGTGTGAAAGAGAGTCACATAAACTAAATGGTCCATTCTCTTGTTCCAAATGTTTTAAGCTCTAGTTCTCTTACGAGAGGTTCTCTCGTATTGCGTAAGCTAGCTTACGCTACGGGAAAGATTCATCTTTGCTGAGAAGTTGAAGCCAAAAAATTATTCCATAATTTTGTAATCATTGTCAACGCAGTCTCCTCTGAGGCAGACCATGAGCGGGCTAGCTAGCGGCTCATTGGTTCGCTCAGAGAGAATGCACGAACCTATGGGAGAGCGGCGCTGAGTCCGCGGCCAATGAGCGGACGGCGCTCGCTCACTGCGTCACAGCCCGCCAAAAGGGGCGTGGCTACAGTGTATAAAGGTCGCTCTCCCAGCTCGTTCGTCGATTCTTGTTCATTCAGCGAGCTACACGCATCCGCTGTCCTGGGAAGAAGCCGCCGTCGTTGAGAAGGCACCGTCTAGCGAGCTCCGGAGTCTGAGGAAGCCGGCCGTCTGCCACCTTCAGCCGCCCAGCAAGCTAGCGCCATCCGACGCGTATCCTTTTTACTATTCCATATTCCTAAAAGAGCCGAGCGTCTTTTTCAAGATGCCTCGAATTTCCTGCGGCTCATGCCGCTCTTCACTCGAGGAAGGAGACCGATTCTGCGTTCTCTGTTTCGGAGTGGAACACGCAGAGCTCGCCAACGGAGGATGCGACCACTGCGAGGACCTGCCTCCGTCTTCCCTGCGGGCTCGACTACAGGCAGTCAGAACCGCTCCCGCGCCGCCTCTCACTTCGCCGCGGAAGAAGAAACGCCGCTCCCAGAGGCCGCCGGAGCCCCCTGCGGATCCATGTGGGCCGCCGCCGCCGCCCACCGACCGCTCTCCCTCTCCGCCCCTGCCGGACTTACAGTTGCCGCCGTATGGCCGCTCTGTCGCCTCCGACGACACCGCGGATGAGAAGGACTCTTGTTCGCTGCACCCTTCTGACAGCGAGGATTGGTCGTCGATCGGCTCATCGACGAGAGAGTCTGCGGGGACCCGCGCCGGCATCGAGGAGGATCTATCGCGCCTCCCTTCGCAGGCCTTCAACCGCCTGGTCTCGAGTGGTCTCCTCCCCCCGAGCAACCACCGAACCGGCGCTCGACCCCCGCCTGCAGCCGGGCTGCACCATTCCTGCCTGAGCTTCACTACGAGCTCACTAAATCCTGGAATGCCCCTCTTTCGGCTCGTATCCGCTCCGAGGGGTCCGCTTCGCTCAGTGGACGGAGCCGCCGAGATGGGTTATACTGCCATGCTGCCCGCGCCTTTGCCGCCGCCGAACAGGCCGCCTCAGCGCTGCATTCCATCCAGGCGCTCCAGAGCGACATCTTGTGCGAGATGGCGAACAGCGGTAGGAACCCGCCCATCCTTTCGGATCTGAGAAGCGCGACGGATCTTTCCCTTCGCGCCACTAAAGCCGCCGCACAAGCCCTGGGAAAATGCATGGCCGCCCTCGTTGTCACTGAAAGACACTTGTGGCTCACGCTCACCGATATGGGAGATTCAGAACGCGCCCTGTTCCTCAACGCGCCTATTTCTCCCACCGGGCTCTTCGGATCTGCCGTCACGGGCATCGTTGACCGCTTCTCCGAGGTTCAGAAAGCGACTCAGTCCATGAATCTGTTCTTGCCCCGCCGCTCTAGTTCTTCGACAGGCCGCTCTCACGAGCCTCCTGCCAGAACCCCACAGCAGCGCCCGCCTCAGCAAGCTCAGCAGCCCCAGCGTAGACAGGGCGGCCGCCCTCGCTCTCGCTCAGATAGCCGCCGCAGACAGCCTCCTCCCAGGGGGCCTCGACCCAAGATCGCGCTGAAGCCCGATCAACAGAAGTCTGCCTAGCACAGCTGAGAAAAGGACGGCTTCTCCCGCTGCGGCCGGATCACCGTAAAAGCCTCGCCCACTGTTAGTCCCCGTCTCACCGCTGACTGCAGTAGTGTTTACCGCCACAAACAAGCCGGTTTCCCTGCCCGCTTGCGAGCGTCTAAAAGCCGTTTTCACGGCTATCCAGAGAGTTCACAAAAGAGCATAAAAGCCTCAAGTGTAATAAATGTGCCCACAAGCATGTGCTCACATACACACTCAAGCACCTTATGCCCAGGGTCTCTCACAGAGCCCATTCTCACGGAGCGTGCACTTTCCGCTCCAGCAGCAGAGAACATAAGCACGCCCACGAGCCCGTGCGCGTGTCCCCCCTCTGCCCGCTCTGTCACACGGCCCATAAAACTCCTCTCTGAGTGTAAGTCCCGTTGCCACCCACATTATGAGCGTGCCCACACACAGTGTCCAGCCCGCGATGTGCAGCTATCAGGGCAAAATCGCCATTCAACCGCTTACGAAGCGTGGGAAGCCATCCCTGGCATCTCCCCGTGGGTTTAAGCATAATAAAAGAATGGTTATCGATTACAGTTTCGTCGCCGCCCGCCACGCTCGCGCGTGCGGCTCGAATCCACTGTCAGCCGCCCGCTATGAACACGCTTCGCTTAGAAATAGCCAAGCTACTGCAGAAGGGCGCTATAGAGAGAGTCCCACCATCTATGACCGAGTCGGGGTTTTACGGCCGTTATTTTCTGGTTCCCAAGAAAGACGGCGGCCTCAGGCCGATCTTAGATCTCAGGGCTTTGAACAAAGCGCTCATGAAGAGACCGTTCAAAATGCTCACAGTCAGGAAACTCCTCGCGCACGTCCGCCAGGGGGACTGGTTCATCTCTCTAGACCTGAAAGACACCTATTTTCAGATCCAGATAAACCCTCATCACAGGCCATTCCTACGTTTCGCCTTCGAGGGCCAAGTTTACCAGTATGCCGTTCTCCCGTTCGGCTATCCTTAGCACCCCGTACGTTCACGAAGTGCATGGATACAGCGCTCGCCCCCCTGCGAAGTCAGGGGCTGCGCATACTGAATTATCTGGACGACTGGCTGATGCTAGCAGATTCCCAGACGGAGCTGCTGTCGCACCGCACAGTTCTCCTCAACCATCTGGAAGCGCTGGGACTCTCTGTCAACTGGACAAAGAGCTCTCTCCAGCCCAGTCAAACTATTTCGTTCCTTGGAATAGATTTGAACTCTATCACTATGACGGCTCGCTTATCCACACAGCGCGCGCGCCGTGTTCAGCGCCTAGCCGCCTCGTTCAGATGGGTACCCATACATCCCTGAAATCGCTTCAGAGGATGCTGGGTCATATGGCTTCAGCCTCCGCTGTGCTACAGCTGGGTCTTCTGCACATGCGCCCCCTTCAACTCTGGTTATAGAGCCGCGTATCCCACCACGAGTGGACGACGGGCCGCCAGATGATCAGGATTACTCAGACACGTATCACTGCACTGCAGCCATGGGCAGTAAGCGAGTGGTTTCAGAGGGGCGTTACCATGGGAACCTTCTCTCGCCGGAAAGTTATCTCGACAGACGCATCCAACTCGGGTTGGGGAGCGGTTTGCGAGGGCTCACCGGCCGCCGGCCAGTGGTCGAGCCACGAGAGTTCCCTACACATAAACTGTCTGTATATGATCGCGGTCGAGAACGCGCTGCTATGCTTCCTCCCGCGCATAAACGGTCACCACGTCCTGATTCGCTCCGACAATATGGCCGTGGTATCATACATCAACCGTCAGGGCGGCGTCAGATCCAAGAATCTCTTTCATCTGACACGCCGCATCCTATTGTGGTCCCAGAGTCACCTGCTCTCGCTCAGAGCGACGCACGTGCCGGGCCATCTGAGCGACGGTCCAGACAGCCTGTCCAGGAACCTGGTCTCCCCCGGAGAATGGTCCCTGCACACTCAAACAGTCCAAACACTGTGGCGCCTATTCGGCAGAGCGGAGATAGATCTTTTCGCTTCAGAAGAGAACGCTCACTGCCCAATATTCTTTTCAAAGAGCGAGGACGCGCTAGCCCAGGATTGGCCCCGCCGCCCGCTCTATGCTTTTCCCCCGATTTCTCTGCTACCGCAGGTCATTCAGAGAATCAGGGACTCACGCCACTCGGTGCTCCTCATAGCCCCGCGCTGGGAGAATCAGATTGGTTCCCGGAGCTAACGCGGCTGTCACAGACAGCCCCGTGGCCCATTCCAATCAGAGCAGATCTCCTCACTCAAGCCCGCGGCTCGATCTGGCATCCCCATCCACAGCGCTGGGCGCTTCATGCATGGGTGACCAACGACTACGCGTCGAATTGCCAGAAGGGGTTTTGAACACGATCAAACACGCCAGAGCGGATTCTACCAGAAAGCTCTATGCTGCAAAATGGTCTGTGTTCTCCAAATGGTGCACCGACAAGAATTTGGACCCACGGACGTGCGAGGTTTCGTCTTGCTAGTGTTCCTTCAGGAGATGCTGGATAAAGGCAGGTCCCCATCCACTCTTAAGGTTTACGTGGCAGCCGTCGCGGCGTTCGTTGAACCCCGGCGCGCCCAGTCTCTGGGCAAAGACGAGCTAATCATCCGCTTCCTCAGGGGAGCCAGAAGGATGAACCCCCCTCGCCCCCTACGGTGCCGGTCTGGGATCTTTCTATAGTTCTAGAAGCTCTGAAAGCCCCACCGTTTGAACCACTTGAGTCCGTGGAACTAAAATACCTCTCGTTAAAAACCGTTCTTCTGACGGCTCTCGCTTCAGTAAAACGTGTGGGGGACATTCACGCGCTGTCTTCGAGCGCCGCGTGCCTAGAGTTTGGACCGAGTGACTCCATAGTCATTCTAAAGCCTAGACACGGTTATGTTCCAAAAGCGATTGGTACCCCTTTCAGGGCGCAAGTGATCTCTCTATCGGCGCTGCCTGCATCCGATAGCGAACGAGACGCTGACCGCCTCTGCCCGGTTCGGGCTATCAGAGTGCACACTACACGCGTTGCCGCGTTCAGACGCTCGGAGCAGCTGTTGTGTCGTTCGGTGGCCGCACCAAGGGACTAGCCGCCTCGAAACAGACCCTAGCCAGGTGGATAGTAGACGCGATTGCCTCTGCTTATGCCGCTAAAGACCTGCCTCGCCCTCTGGGCATCAGGGCTCATTCCACCAGAGGCATGGCCTCGTCGTGGGCATGGTCCTGCGGGATTTCCATCCATGACATTGTGTGGCTGCGGGATGGGCCTCCCCCTCCACTTTTGTCAGGTTTTATAACTTGGAAGTTCCAGCCTTACAGGCTAAAATTCTGGCGGTCTAGTACTCACAGCCCTCCTATAGAAGCCGCACTATCGGGAGTTCCATCACAACCGGCTCACCCCTTGTGTTCCCCTATGTGCTTATGCATTAGCCTACACATCACGGCCCGCCTTCGCCGGCCGCCTTGGGCGTTTTGCACTAGATGATAACGGCCGCTATGCTGGCCGCCGTATTATCTTCATCCACTTTAGATTCCCCCGGTGTTTCCCCTGGGATGCTTAGTGGTTACTTAGCGCGCACGGCGTTGACCAGGTGTTCCCGTAGCGTAAGCTAGCTTACGCAATACGAGAGAACCTCTCGTAAGAGAACGAATCGGTTACCTAACGTAACCTCGGTTCTCTCTAGATGAGGGAACGAGTATTGCGTTCCCGGCCGTGCTTGCGCCACTAGCGTTTCGCTTCATGCTACAGAATCAACGAACGAGCTGGGAGAGCGACCTTTATACACTGTAGCCACGCCCCTTTTGGCGGGCTGTGACGCAGTGAGCGAGCGCCGTCCGCTCATTGGCCGCGGACTCAGCGCCGCTCTCCCATAGGTTCGTGCATTCTCTCTGAGCGAACCAATGAGCCGCTAGCTAGCCCGCTCATGGTCTGCCTCAGAGGAGACTGCGTTGACAATGATTACAAAATTATGGAATAATTTTTTGGCTTCAACTTCTCAGCAAAGATGAATCTTTCCCGTAGCGTAAGCTAGCTTACGCAATACTCGTTCCCTCATCTAGAGAGAACCGAGGTTACGTTAGGTAACCGATTCGTTTTTCTTACTGATTTATGTTTTTTTTTTTTTTACTTATTCATTTGTAAGGATTATTAATTTAAATTTGATGGAATTTTACTATAAATTGAAAAGCATAAAAAGAATTCAGTGCAATATTTGCTTAAATACTATTAAATAACTAAAATAACTTTCATTCCCCCTAAGTTTGGTCCAGGTAGCACTAAAATATTGCTTATCTGAAATGGTGACACCCAGTGGTCCAGTAAGGTGATACATTATACAAGCATCAGTCAATGTATAGGGCATGACCACAAACCACAGAGGCAATTTTTTCCCAGAACATTCGCAATGAACAGACACATTGTGGTCTTCCTCCCATATGTAAATGCTTCCTTGTTGTGCTGTTACCCTAATGACAACTGGTGTCCCAATACAGTCAGAAAAAGTGCACCAGTTTGGGTGTCTTTTTGAATCATTAGTCTCTTATTATAGGCTAGTGCATATTTGACAAACCATGTTGTATTTTTGTTTGTCAGTCAGAGGTGTCCTATTGCATATAGTCTACAAAACATCAGTGGTGGTAATTAACAAAGTAAAAATACTTCGTTACTTAAGTTTTTTTTTTCCGGTGATCTGTAGGCTACCTACACTGCATGAAAAGACTCAAATCCGGCAATATCCGGGCATGGTAAACTCCTGTGCAATTTGATGTTTGCTGGATGTATGTGGGAAAAAGCGGATTAGAGTAACACGGAACAGTATATTTCCAGACAAACCCGGAAACCTCACCTAAGCGGGCATATACAGGAATCCGTGAAATTTCACGGACATATACAGCTGAAACACTGCTGGGTGTGAGAGGTGTGAAGAAGACCTTTCATATGTTAATGACTGACACTAAGGGTGCTGGCTGTTCTCAGAGGGAGGAGTGGCAGGGGACTTCAGGATTGAAAATTATCTCTGGTCTACAGCAAACAAGTTTTTTGTACAGAAAAATAAATAAATTCTTAAGGCCCTGAAACAGAAAACCGACGTCAAAGAACTAGCAATGACTAAAGCCAACTCTAGGGTTGGCTTATGTTGCCTGTGGGGCCTTAAAACCACTGTATGAAAAAAAGTATCCTAATCAAATATTCTTTTATAAAAACAGGACAAAATAAACACCATGAATATACGTTCACAAAAACATCTGAATATTTAATGAAATAAAAAATACAGGGAAACATTTCAGAATATCTAAATTTTAATTGTGAAGTTTTACCAATTGCAGACAACAACATTTGTCGCCATTGGCTTTGCTTAGTTGGAGACATTTTTATTTAATATTCAACAATGTTATTGAACTGCCTGCATTGACACCATTATATGAGATCTGAACTGAGATGGACAATGACATCACGGTTTTGGCAGAGTTAATTCTTTGGGCATGCATGATGTGAAACGAGTGGTCGCAAAACCACCGGGCTTTCCCGTGTTATTGTCAGCAGCTGGTTATCCTTCCATGTTGAAGAGCATCATATTTATTCACAAAATTAAATAGATTCACTTGCAACGCGTCATACCGAGGTTTGTGGTTTGAGTGAATAAGTCCTTCCGCAAACAAACAAGCTGCAAGAAAAGGGGTTTGAAATTCACCACTCACAACCATAAACACAACAAATGTGGTGACGTAATGGAGGTGCAACCAATAACGTTAGTTTATTGCTTCAAGCGCGAGAAAAATACTTTAAAATTACAGCATTCCCGAAGCAAAGAGAACAGTTCGAGGTTTGGAAACAGTTTTCTTCTATTCACCTTATTTTGCACGACAACAAGGGTGACGCCATTGCGTTCGTTTTGTCATTACTCCCGTCTGAGAAAGACTTCAACTTCCGGCTCATGAGAGGGATGAGATTCTGCGCTAGTTGAAACGAACGGTAAAATATGTCAAGTATTAAATGTTCAGTTAGGTGCTGCCATAACAGTTGGATTAAGAGGAGAGAACAATTGGACCAACGGTGTAACGAACATAATGTGAGGCGGTCAGATTGTTGTTGTGGTGCACTTTACGATTTAGCTACACCCACCACTGACGAGGAGCACCGGAGGCAATGGCGGAAGGCACTACATTTGGAAGCATAGGCTTGAAAGTGCCCAACTGAGGCTAAACACGGAAACGATTCTGATGAGAAAACGCAAAAGTGGCGTTGCGTCATCTTTTTTTTTTATTCTGCGTTTAGACGAGCGTTTTGTGTGAGAAATCCGCGTGCAAATGGAGACGCAAAAGTGTGTGAAATTCAATGTAGTATGCACTTCAGGCGGCTAGGAGTGCATACTACAACACCAAGTCCACGCGCCTGCGTACAACTTTTACCGTCAAGCAAACTTTTGCGTTTTTACCGTTTACACGGATAAGATTTAAGATTTCCACTCTGGAGGGTGGTTTCACTTTTTTTGCTTTTTTGAGCCTCAAAAACGCCATCGCCGTGTAAACGAAAGGCACATCCGATAAAATATTTTTACGTTTTCACCCGCGAGCGTTCTCGTGTTAACAGGGCCTAAGGACGGGAATCCGATTGAGGAACACCACAGAAATGGCTCGGCTACGATGTTCCGATAAAGAAGTCACGCCGGGTGTTGAATATTGTCAGATTCAGGTAAGCTAACTTGCCTAACTGTTATGTGCTTGTTTGCCTAACTTTAGATTCGTGAAGTCCGTTCTATGAATGCATTTAAGATCAGTAACAAGCCGTAAACAAAATACAATGAATCTTGCATGATTACCATTGCCCACATATACATGTTATTTATTTAACTTTGTGATATTGACCTAAGAGTCTGAAAGAATGAATGAATGAATATTCACGGTAGTACAAGATAGTATGGTAACTTACATTAGTCTTACAATAGCTCACATTACTGCTATTGCACATTACGAGATGTAAACAACACTGGTCCAGATGCACTTCCTGTTTCAGTTTGTAAAAGGCTTCTTAATTTCAAATGTAAAGAAAATATCTTGAATATGTTTGTTTAACTTTTTGATTCAGTTGTTCTGTTGGTTGTACTTTAACCCAACGTTTATACAGTGTTAAAACTGAAACAGGAAGTGCTTCTGGACCAGTGTTGTTTACATCTTGTGAAATGGTCTATACAGAGATTGCTGTTGCTAGCAGGCCAGCTAGCTACATCTCTCATTCAGATATTGATATTGACTTATGGCGAGTTAGGAGATTGTGTATTGTTTCGTTTTTAATTAATGTATCTTTCTCACACACTGTTCTGTGTAACTATGGGTGCCATCATCAATGAATTCTCCATTATCTATTTTAAGTAGCTACTAATGTAAAAAATGTTTATGGTTATAATATTTCCATAGATGCATCAATGAGAGTCAGTAATGCAGTGGATAACTATGAGGATGATCACATCCACATGCCCCACAGCTGTGATGCAGAATCACAATGGGAGGATCAATCTGTCTTTGGCCACAACCTGATCTTCTCAGAGAGACTCTCCAGCGTCTTGATGCTCTTTAGCGAAAGTATGAGCAGCACAGACTAACGTTACATGAAGAATCTTACAACGCTTCGAAAAGAATAAAAAAGGCACATGACGTGAACATTGAAGTCCAATTATTGTTCTATAACGTGGCTGTAAGCCATAGTTCGGTTACAATTATTGTTTTGTCTCTTGCGGTTACTGTGATGGTCAGCTTTTTCCAACTGAAAATTCATTTTTTTTGGTTCTTGAAGATTGTGAATCAATTTAATTGCTTTTTAATTTCAAACTTTACAGGAATCTGTAAGGCGCCTCCATAATTCAGAGAACAACCCACACAAATACGTTCCACAAACCAGGTAAGACTGTTTCTTATATACTATAGCCTAAATGTTAGTTTAATCTACTACTCTATGGATTTGGAATGCCAAAAGTGAATTTCGGTAATGATGATACCTGCAACTTTCCCCCCCAGAATAAATTCATCACATAACCTGGCAGTGACCACTTACCTCTTCGAAGAATTAAGGTCAACTTTTACAGACGTTGACCCTGAATGTGTAAAAGGTAATCTTAAAGATGTTGTAATCATTTTATTGTCCTCTGTTTTACTTATTTTTATTGCCATTACATTTATTTATGATATATTTAGCAGGTTGGAAGATGTATTTTGAGACTTTGCGGAGGAAGTATTCTTTGGCTCAGCCTGAAAAGGCCCAGAAAAGAAAAACTATGACGAGCATTGCAAAGAACCTTCAAAGAAAGCGACTGGTAAGTTAAGAAACTGGTTAAGCACTTTTTTTCTCTTCAGAATGTAACTATCCTCCTCTCTGTGTTTTAGTGGTTAAGTTACTGTCATGTTTTTCAGTTGCTGGAGACCAGGTCCGGGGTTGTACAAACCAACACAGAAAAGGAACTTTGGAAGACCGCAACAATAGAACTGATGTCTGATGAAGATGATGCTATTGTTGATGGAAGGCCAGTGTGAATGGTGAGGTATCCACCAATCTGCTCTCTGCTAGGTACTATAAAACAGACTAGAGGCTGACCCACACTATGCGTCACACCACCAGCGTATCATGGCAGTTTGAAAAATGTTAACTCGTATAAAAAAAAAATATATATATATATATATATATATATATATATATAACCGTTCAAAAGTTTGGGGGTCGGTAAGATATTTTTTTTTTTTTTTGGGGGGGATAGCTCAAATTAACTCAATACTTTTATTCAGCAAGGATGCATTAAATGAATCAAATGTGACAGTAAAGACATTTATAATGTTACAAAACATCATATTTCAAATAAATGAAATATAACTTTCTATTGATCAAATAATCCTAAAAAGTCTACAACTGTTTTCAACTTTGGTAATAATAATGAATATTTATTGAGCATCAAATCATCACATTAGAGTGATTTCTGAAGGATCATGTGACACTGAAGACTGGAGTAATGATGCTAAAAATTCATCTTTGATCACAAGAATAATGTATTCCAATAGAAACGTTTATTTTAAATTGTCATAATATTTAACAATATTACTCTTACTTTTTTTGTATTTTTTATATATAAAAAAAAAAAGCAGCCTTGGCGAGCATATGAGACTTCTTACCGATCCCAAACTTATAAACGGCAGTGTACACCTTGAATATTTTATATACACTTTAATTTCTTATTTATTTTTCTCGTATTATTTCATATATTTGTTCCTTTTTTTGTTGTCCATGTTGCTTATCTCCATTTTGTTTACTTGTTTGCATTTTAATGTATGTTTATAATGCACTCTCTGTAATTTTCTATTTATTTATATTGTTTACTTGGAATATCTACGTATATTTTATATATATATATATGAAGAGTTCAGATGCAAAAGCCTCTAAATGCCATTTGAAATTTTCTCCTTTAATGATGATTTTTATCAAACTTGTATATTTAAGTTTAGTAATTTCACTTAAATAACAATTAATAGGCAATTATCATTGCCATTTAAGAGAAATTACTGAACTTAAATATACAAGTTTGATAAAAATCATCATTAAAGGAGAAAATTTCAAATGGAACTCTTCATATATTTTATATATATATATGTAACTTTTTATATACACTGTGTACTTTATTCCTTTACATCTGTCCTTTAAAATGATTGGGTAAAAAAAAATTAACGAAATAAAAAGTTAACAATTTATTTAATGTATGTTTATAATTTTCTTTGGAATGTCCATGATTTTTTTTCTTCCTTTGAGATGTTATTACTTCATACTTTTTTTTTCTAGTTTTTGTTCCCAATTCCTCTGTAATGCTTGTTTATAATGCTATTTGGAATGTGTTATATACCTTAATAAAAATTTCAGACTTTCCCATTGTTCTTTGTGTGTTTAAATATAAATATATATATATATATCAAATTTATTTTAATGAATATATTAAAATTGGGGGAGGGAGGTTTGGTATATATTTGAGCAATATCTGCATAGCTGGTATATAACCAATCAAATCAGTATGCTACAAGGCCTAGGGTGGGCTATGTTTAAAAGTAACCAATAAAGTCCGTTTACTGGGTTTTCAATGTGTCCTGCCCTCCAATAGTGGTCTGGGTGTTGGGAGTGGCTTTAAAAGAACAACCAATCCAGTTTGGTTGGAAGGCAATAAGGTGTGAATGTTTCCTGCAAAAAGGTGTGATTTTTTTTCCTGCTAAAACCTTTAATGGGATTACTTGCCATGGCAACAAATGGCTCTAGCACGGAAGTATACGTCCACAACATACATCCGATTTGGTATCATTCCGGATGTATGCGGATATATACAAACCCATGGAATTTGACATATCCGGCCACTATACTCCTGGATTCTTCCGAATTTCAGCAGTGTATACAGGAGTATACTGGTCCGGATACACCTATTTTCATGCAGTGCTATTTTACTTGAGTATGTTTTATTTGCATCTACCTTCACTCTTACTCCACTACAATATTAAAGACAAAGTTTACTTTTTACTCCAATACATTTCCCCATGACCGCTCCAAGTATTTATTACACTTGCCAAAACATTGATAAATTGGGTTTTATTTTGAAAAAAAAAAAAAAAAAAAAAACGACCGCACAAGCTCTTTGCCAGCATAGGCTACGCTCACAGCAGTTAGATCGCTATTGCGAAGTTGAAGATGACCTCAGAAACAGGTGCAGCTCTTGCATTGATCACAAGCAATCATCACAAGATTTCCAACAGGGATCCCCATGGCCATATCTCAATGATATGTTCGAAGTCGAGGGGGATTCTTATCGGCTGAAATGTCTTCTTTGCCTGCCACGGGTGAATGAAATTTCAGCCTTCGAAACTCTGAGTAAACATATTGAGGTGAGTTGACGTTAAAGCAACACTAAAGATTTTTATCTTCTTAATCGGATACTTTTGTACTTTGTACCTTTTAGACTTTCTACTTGTACTGGAGTATTTTTTTATTTAGGTATATACTTTTACTCAAGTATAATTCTCGAGTACTTTTATCACCCCTGCAAAACATATTGCAACATATTGCAAAACTCTCTCTTATAGCCACTAAAATGTTCTTTCTTTATCTTGTGACTGATGTTGTCTTCGCCACCTCATGCTGCCTGATGTAGGCTACTGATCTTTTGGATCTTTGATGTTGTCCCTTAGTCTCTTGTACTCTTGGGCTCTTGGGATGAAGCTTACATATTTATGAAGGTCATTCATGAACCTGTGCACTATAGTCTCTCTTCATCATGCTCCTGTCAAGGGAAGGTAAAGATACATGCACACGCTGTGCATCATCGGTGATGTGAAGTTTTGAGTGATGTTCTGCTCTTGGTGAGCATTTCTGTTGTGGAAAGAGTCCAGTTCTTGCTCCATCCACCTAGAGGAAAGCAGCCCAAGCATCGATCTTTTTCTCCGCCATTAGTGCTGATCTATTCCCCCTCTGCCTCAGCCTGGGTTCATTTGTATTCTAATTGCCGGGCTTGAAGTGACATGCTACGTTCTGTACAAGGCTGTTTTCTGTCAATTCCATGCCAATATACGAGTGAAGTGCTGTCTTCAGCTGCTTTGATGTTAAATGTGGCATTTGAACCTTAAGGAGGTCACATATATATTTGTGTATATAATATGTTGCGTATGGTGTTCAGTAGGACATGAGTTAAGATTGAAATTGGACAAAACTTTATATATATATATATATATATATATATATATATACACACACACTTATATAGGTACAGTCTCTGCAAAAAACATATCCTTGTTCTAGTCCTCATCAAACTAGTCCAACTCCAAATAAGATATGCATAATCCAACAAAACAAATCCTCTGATGGCTTCTCAGGCCAGTTCTCTGCCCAATCGCTCCATAAGCTTACCTTTATTGATTTTTTTTTTTCTCTGAACATTGCTTTGTTAATTTAGATAGATGATGTACAAATGTTACCAAGGTAGCATCGTCTAGCTGGTTACCATACAATATTTTTGTTGAAATCTCAAGGGTGAAATTGCTTGTCTTAGAAGCATCAGTTAGTATGGATTGAAAAGTATTAAAAATAAGTTTACTAAAAGTCTTGACTGGTGAAAAAATCATGACAGGTCAAGTAACAATCTGAACTATTTGGCAAAACTGGGCCACCCAGAAGAAACACTTATTGTCGTGCCCCATTTATTTTGAATTGAAATGAATGAAATGATCAAATTATAGTCGATGATTTTGGATTTCTGTCTTTGATAACTGGCCTAATTTCATAGCCAATTATGTTTGTAGCTTTCCTCACTCAATCCAATTTGTACCCAAAGATGATAAAGCCCAGTCAAAGTCTGTGATATTTAAAAGACAAAGTCAATTTTGCCTATATGTGACACTGAGCACAGAGTGTGCTCTCTTCTTTCTCATAATGCTGATGATAAAGTATGGCGCGTCTCTCGCAAGAATAGATGCATGCAGAGTGTCACACATCAGTTGCGACACATCAACAAGCTTGTGTCGGCAGTTATTCATGGACAGCGCTGTGGTTGACGTTGAAGGCTTTGAGGAACGAATAAAAGACAGGTAATAGATGTGCTCTTTCAAATGCTTTGTGAGAGAGATACGGAGACAGCTGTGTTATCTTAAAACGAGTGTGCGTGTGCATGCGAGAGCGAGGGATTATTAAAACAGGTGTGTGTCTCCACATGCTGATGGTGTGTGATTATTCATTACTTGCGGACTTGCTGCTATCTCTGCTGAGAGCAAGTCCCAGAGTCACCTTGACTGAGCCTCATATAGGCTAGAAATATCACACTTATTATAACGGCTACCGTGGCCTAACCTATCCAACCAATGAGAGACATGAGGATTCTACTTGATATTTGATTTAAACAAACAATATGATTTCATACAATGCACATGCATGCTTATGTATCTAAATATACTGCCCTAAAAGGGCATTTTTTTATTTCTCTGTCAAGGTGAGGATGCTTGCAGTTTGTGCTGGTCATACCTCAAATGTTCAGTTTGTACATTCGCATCACTGATCCCTATTTATGGGCTGTTGAACTAAAGAAAGACTGCTGGTTCGCAGTCCATTTATCTCTAAAATGTTAATTATGGTAAATATTACCGCTCAGGGACATATAAGCAGCTATTGTATGTGTTGTTTGACAGTAAGACAATGATAAATGGGGCTGTAAAATCCATGTAACTGGATTTTTGTGTGTTGCTCGCAGTGCTTATCCATTGCATACATTGATCGTTTCTTGCTTCAGCTCAAATTTGAGAATTTATAGTCATCCAGAATTAAAATTCACACTGTGTGCTCTGGTCCCAGATGAACTGTGTTCTTGGTCAGCAGATATGTAGGCAGAAAACCCCTTACTCACATACTTTGAAATGAGCTATATAATGTATTGAAATCCTGATTTTAGAATAGAACTCCATGTTGTTTCCTAATCTGTAAAATGACCTTAAAAACTTTACATTTTTAACAATAGAAGATCTGACAAAAACAAAACGTTTCATAAAATGGTAATCCTCACTTTTCAGTGGTCTGACCAAAAACGGCAGACTGACTGAAAATGCAAATTAAGTCTCTGAAGGTGGTTACTGTACAAAGCAGTACTTGCCTATGTGGAG